TCATGCCGCTTACTACGTATACACGTGACAAGGCGTGATTGGTTGACGTAGCTTCAACTGGAAGGAGACCAAAGCTGTGTCCCAATCCATGCAGCCGCTGGATTGGGACACAGCTAAAGGCTTGATGTGGACTGAGTGATAGTCATCTTAGTGGTTAGCGGTTTAGCGTTAGCTTTTGCTATTTTTATCTGTTTAGCATTAGCAAAGCAAATTTTTTAGTTAGCGGAATATGGGTTAGTGGAGATAATTTTTTTGGTTAGCTGTGCCCACTACTTCTTATACATTTTATTTATGGCTAAAAAAATATATTTTTAATTATTTTAACACAACTTTATATAAGCCAAATTTGATTTAGTCCATAAAAATTGCACTTGTATTGTATCTTTGTGTCAGCTACATTTTCTACAAAATTAGCATTAGGATGTTTGTGAGCTATGTGAATGTAGAGAAGAAACCAAACCATGTCTCTGTCCTCTTCCCAGTAACGATGGACAGTTTGATGTGGCTCTGTACGTCAACGTCTTGGTGTACAGTAATGGGATGGTTACGTGGTTGCCACCAGCCATTTACCGCAGCTCCTGTTCCATAGAGGTACTGTCATTGTTCTGGTCTTTACATACGTCTTTAAATGATTGAGTTGCTGAATTGATCAAATCCTAACCAAACATTGTTAGTTTGTACGTGGTCACACATGCATAGACTTGACACATTAATCTTATTTTAGTCCAACTTTCATAAGTCCATTCAACAGCTTGATTGCACTATAACCTAACTCACAATGCACGTTGCTGGATATCTTCCTAATAAGATCTAGGAGGTGACTCAACGTGAACATTTGAAAATTTGTAGGTGGCATACTTTCCGTTTGACTGGCAAAACTGCAGCATGGTTTTCCGCTCGTACACCTACGATGCCTCTGAGGTGGACTTGGAGTACTATCTGGACGAGAATGGGACAGAGATCCATGAAACCGTCATAGATGACAACGCCTTCACCGGTTGGTACCAAGTTAACCCACATCTTTCATTCCTAAAAGTTTGTTTGATTTGTTTGTTCCGAGCTACATTTTCCGCAGAGAACGGAGAATGGGCGATCCGCCACAAGCCTTCGAGGAAGAACGTAAAGGACGACCTGTACGAGGACATCACCTTTTATCTCATTATTGAGAGGAAGCCTCTTTTCTACATCATCAACATCATCGTACCTTGCATCCTCACCAGTGTCTTAGCTATATTTGTCTTCTATCTGCCCCCTGGTGCAGGTCAGCACTTTTAAGAATAATCTTTATTGTCATTGCAGCATAATAAAACAAAGTTAGCAGTATGTACAGTTGCTCACAAATAGTCGGGTGAAAACAATCACTGCACACAAAATTGCAAACCACATTTCAGAACTTTTTGTCTGTCAAACTACAACTGAGTGGTATTAAGATTAAATTTATAACTCGTTTTATTACAGTGACGTCAAACGTGTTGAAGCTTCGGCTATCAAACCCCTGCATAAAAACACGGACCTCTGAAATTGTTGTTTACTGTCAGTATCCAGAATTATTCAGTGAGCAGACACTTCTACGCACATCAGATTAGAGCTTTGTGATAGAAATCTGAACGTTTTAATCCCAGAAATTACTAAAACAAAATAACTGAATAAAACGTGACTTTTTTTTAACGTAACAAAAAGCTGACGTGGCAGCGGAGTCTCACAGGAACAAGGCACAGAGATGGCGGGATGTGGCGTAAAGCACAACGATGCTCAGCTCAAGGTGGCGTTAGGACCAAAGGATTAAATAGACTAATGGTACAATAGGGAACAGGTGTAGGTGGGCGTGGCAGGAGCAGAGGAGCAGGAACTGACAATAGAAAGGTACTGGGAGAATGAACAGGTGGCACAGAGGAACTTAACACTAAAAACACTCTTGACACCATCTTATTAAAAATTTTAAACAAGGACGTTTACAGCAATAAACAGGGGGTTTACATGTCATCTTTTTACGCAATATTATAATTTTTCTCCAGTAAATCTGCAAAAATTCCCAAGTATTTTCAGAACCAGTACAAACCCTGAAAGGTTCTGATTGTTCTTTTGGCAGGAGAGAAGATGACTCTCTCTATTTCTGTCCTCATCACTCTCACCGTCTTCATGCTGCTGCTGGCTGACAAAGTCCCCGAGACATCCCTTGCCATCCCAATTATCGTCAACTACGTCATGTTCACCATGATCCTGGTCACCTTCTCCGTCATTCTGAGCGTGGTCGTCCTCAACCTGCACCACCGGACACCCAGCACCCACATCATGCCACACTGGGTCAGAAAGGTACTGAGAATACATCGAAACTAGTTTAATAACTCTGCAAAACTCAGCTTTAATGAATAACTCTTTTTTTTTAGGTGTTCATTCACATCTTGCCAAAATACATCGGTATGATGAGACCGAAACCAGAGGAGCCTCTGCAGGAGAAGGAGTCCGATAAGGACCCCTCACCCACCCAGAGCTTTGGTGGACACCAACCTGGAGGAGAGTACTTCATCCGCAAGATCAACCCTGACCTCGTCTTACCCTGGAGAGGAAGGTGAGGCCGCGATCACTGAACAAAGTTTTCCGCTGTCTCACCTTATTGATAAAATAAAACCAAGAATCTTGTAGCTCCCTTTTGGAACTTGGAAAGCTTAATTAAGGAGGATATAGAAGATGCATAAACCAAAAGATCCAATTACAACAAAAGATTGATCTATGGTGGTTTTTGGGGCCGATTGCAATTACCGATTTTTGCACAAATTTGAGCTGCTGAGACCAAAATTTAACTTATTTTGAGTTTTTTTCAAGAGTTATATCGGAATTTAAAAAAGACTAATCTCTGGGTAAGTTTAATATTTGACTGTGTATTGCAATCATCTATTAAAAATAACTATTTTTCATGCTCAATCATCCAGGTACAAAATCCAATAATGCTCAATGAGGTCATCTGGACAGTTTCTTTTTTGTGGAAAGATGTTTCGCCGTCTATCTGGAGGGCTTCATCAGTCGGAGGAGTTCCAGTAGACAGTTTCCCCACTAAGCAGGGCACTCCTTTAGTGGACCAACCAGTTTAATGGTGATAAGGTGGTTTCTGGGGGCTGTCCCCCGTCAACTCCTCCCAGGCAGGCAGCCAAAGTGGTTCAAGACAACAAAGTTCATGCTCAATCATCCAGGTATCCAATAATGGTCAGTCAGATCATCTGAACAGTTTCTTTTTTGTGGGAAAACAGTTTATTTGGGACTCCTCAGACTGATGAAGTCCTCCGGATAGAGGGCGAAACGTCTTTCCACAAAAAAGAAACTGTCCGGATGACCTCACTGACCTTCACTGAATGTTTTTTCTTCTAATTAGCACCAGGTTTCATGTCTGTCAATGAAAATCCAAAACGAGTTTTAAATTAATGGTGAGATTTATGTTTTCTAGTGTGTGTCTCCGTCTTGTGGTCGGTCCTGCCTCCGCCACCTGTTCTCCTTCCCCAGGTGTTTGTCATTGTCTGTTCGTTAGCGTTTGTATGTTTTGTTCCTGTCTTCCTCCGTGTCTCCACACCAGCTTTAGTTTTCAATTAATAAATGTTATTTCTTATTTTACCTTTTCAAGTTTCCCTGCGTCGGTCTGCGTTTTGGTTCTACCACCACCAGCTCTCCACAAAAGTAAAATGTACAATCCAAATTGTTATACAACTTAAAATATGTGACTGTAACCTCATGAGACGATATATTTCTTGTTTGAGTTGCTTTTATTTGACTTGAAAAATAAAATCTACCATTTTTTTTCCAACCAAAGAATAATTAACAACATCAACGCACTTCGTTCTGGCTCATCTTGAAGACAGTTTCAGATTTACTGCTCCAAGACCGTCAGAATGAATCGGACCAGATTCAAGGCGTCCCAGCCCTGAGGCATCCCACACCTGTTCGCCGTCGCCAGACTCTAAGCCTCTGTTTAGATCGGGATTAGAGGGTGGTCCCACAAAAACAAGGTGGAGGGGAGAGAACAGACGGAGAGACTGGGAGTGAAGGATGTCCGTGTTTGTTTACATTTTAGTGTTTGTGATCTCTGTTTGTGTTTACTTTTAGATTTGTTTACTTTGTGGTTTGTTTTTTTGCGTGTTAGTTTTTTTTCAGGGCCTCCTGTGCCGTCAGGTCACTCGTCCTCTGTACTTTTAGTTCCAGCTCCTGCCACGCCCACCTACACCTGTTCTCCATTCATATTAGTCTCAGCTGCAGACACTCGTCTCATTATTCTCAGACGTTTTAGGACCTCTGTCCTCAGTCCATCTTTAGGCTGGCATCTTCTTTACTTCATGTCTCTGTTCTGGTTCTCCTCCATGTCTCCTTCTTGTCTCCTCC